CAGAGGCTGGACTGGGTCTGGGTTCAGAGGCTGGACTGGGTCTGGGTGGTCTTTGTGGGGGGACGGGGGACTCACCGGCGCCCTGCTCCTGCGTGTAGCTGGGCGAGTGGGTGTGCAGGGACTGCGCCCTCTGCTGGCGGGCCGAGTCGCAGGTCTGGTTGGGGTGCCACGCCTGTTTGCAGTGGTAGCAGAACTCGGCGCCGCAGCCGTCCCTGCGGCACACCAGGCGGGGGCAGCTGGCGCAGCCTGAGGCGATGACGGCGAACCTGACGGCAAAACACAAACGCACGAGTTAGAAAACACATTTCAGGAGCTGTGCGCCGACAGGCTGGCGTTACAGAACCACACGTGAGCTGAACATCAGTGAGGAGGTAGTTGCTCCGGCCTCTGAGGGAACAGAGACGACGAGTGAAGCCGTCGTGTAAACAGAGAATAAACACGTCTGTGTTGGAGCAGCGTGGGAGGTACGAGTCATGGAAACACCTGAACCAGTTACCGTTCCACGGCAGAACGATGGAAATGTTCAAAAACTGAGACGAAACTGATTAAACTGAACACGGACTGAGCAAAGATCCACCTGCGAGCGCTCCGAGTTCACCTAAAGGCCTTCAGGAGGGAGGAAGAGGCCGGATCGATCACGGGATCGAGTCCCAACATGGTGGAGACGAGATGAAGAGTGCAGGAGATGATTTGATCGTTTGATCCACGTGTCTCTGTCTCAAGTCAAACACGAGACCGGATCACAAACACTAAGGAACTCCTCCAGCATGAAGCTGCAGCAGGAGTCGTCTCACCGAGCTGCAACTGCTGGAGACGTTTAAATTTAAAACGAGGAGAAAACAGAAAATCTCTCTGAACTCTGCGAGCAGCTTTGGAAAACACAACTCAGATTTGTGTGCACGGTTTGAAAACTCATCTTCATCAGACCTGGACCCACGCTGGCGTCAAGATTCAGCTCTGGTGCTCTAAAATGTACGGAAACTAAACTAAGACGGGCAGGGGCGATGCTAGGATCTGACCTTGAGGGGGGCTTAGCCCCCAGTGCTGACAATGGCTCTCGGTTTGATCAACGCAGCCCCCACGGTGATGTCTGAGAGAAGTGCAAAAGTTTACAGCACCTGGTACTCCCAGACTAACCAGGCCCGACCCGCTTAGCTTCTGAGATCAGACGAGATCGGGCGTGTTCCGGGTGGTCTGACCATAAACGAGGGGCCCAGTCACAAATAGGACTTTTAAAGGATCAAAGCAAACGAAGACTAAACTTATGCAACATATATGTACATATAAAACACAGTTTTAAGCATTAACCTTTAATTGAACCATTAATGTAATTACGACAGAAAATGGAGGATTTACCTGCGGCTTCCTTCCTACAGATGAACATGTGGTACTTCCTGTTTATAATTCTTGTAATCAGCTGATCATGGGGTCGGCCGCGAGCCTTCGTCATCTTTTACATTTTTCCAGACTCAGTTCAGGTTTTGAAATATAATAAACTGTTTTCCACTCTCTAAACTCTCAGAGCAACTCTGTCTGAACTTCATGTTCTCCACTGACGACGTTTAGTAATCTTTCTGATGATTGTTCATGAAGCCCGACCGACCGCAGTGTTCGAAATGCAAAACCCCGACAGTGCTGTCGGAGGAAAAGGGGGTGGAGCTTCTGCAGGTAAGGGGCGTTTCCTTTCAGGACAAACTGAGATCACGGATTGGTCCGGAGACGGTTCGAGACAACTCATGTGTTTTAGGAGAAACTGGATCCCACAGACGTGCAGCAACATCACGACGAACCTTTAGAGACTCGCGAACATTTCGAGACACTTTAGAGACTCGTTTGCAAACGCTGTGGGATGCCTCCTTTAAAGGGATAGTCTGTTCATTCTGGAAGTCACGTTCTGTTAGTTAGTTAATAATTTGTACCTTATCCGTCGTGCTATCAGTCGCTGAGAACAAAGTCTGAAGAAATGAATGACGTCTGTGGAGTTTGGGGTTTAGTGAGGTCTAGAAGCAAACTTAGAGAGAGCAACCAAACTGGACATTTTACAGTTTGAGGTCTGCATCTGCTCCTTTCCTGTGCTGTTCTTAGAAAACCACCCAGTTTGAACAAAACCGAACCAGTTTGGTTCAATCTGAAAAGCAGAACTCTCTTTTGGCAGAAGTGACTCACAGATGATTCAGAGTTTCACATCACTGAGAGAAACTTCTGGTTTCAATTCTTTCCGAGGTGAAAATACCACAGAAGGTCCCAGAACATGAATTCATGTTTGAGGGGGGGGGTCTTGCTCGGGTCCAAACACAAGAAGTTTGGTTTAGTAAAACTGGAGTGAAACTGTGTGTCGTATAAAGATGACCAAACCATGGGTTCATCTGAGGTTTTAATTTTCACATCAGAACGCAACAGGAAGTGGAACCTCCCTCCTCCACCAGCGTTCGTTTGAAACCTTAAAACTCTTATCAGACTTCACAGGAACTCTAAAGACGGTAATAAATGACAACGAGGAAGCAACACGAGCGAGCATCAATCACCCGAGGAATGGTAAATGGACTGTCCTCATGCAGCTCCTTTCTGTCTTATCGACACACTCAAAGCTCTCGACAACAATCTGCGTCACATTCACCCGTTCACACAGCTCTATACTAGATCTGTACAGAGAATAATTCAACAAATCATTCTCAAGAGACTAATCAGAGCTTCATCACATTCATGCACCGATGGGACACATCAGAGGCGACGAGGGGTTCAGTGTCTTGCCCGAGGACACCTCGGCAGGTGACCGCTGGTGGATTCGAACCCCCAACTCTTGCATTGGAGGACGGCTGCTCTAACCACTCAGCCACAGCCGCCCCAAACTCGACGTTCTTCTGCTCCAACAAAATTAACGCAGTGCCGCTCGTCCGCGAGCGACTCAAAGTCTTTTCTTTGCACAGGGGGAGGAGCTCGGAGGAAAAGGCAACGGGACAAACGTGGAATTGTTCTGACACTCGTCTGAGATGATGGACAGATCCGTGCAGATCTGAGGTCAGCAGATCTGAGGTCAGCAGATCTGAGGTCAGAAGATCTGAGGTCAGTAGATCTGAGGTCAGTAGATCTGAGGTCAGAAGATCTGAGGTCAGAAGATCTGAGGTCAGTAGATCTGGGGTCCTGAGGTCAGTAGATCTGAGGTCAGTAGATCTGAGGTCAGAAGATCTGAGGTCAGCAGATCTGAGGTCAGCAGATCTGAGGTCAGAAGATCTGAGGTCAGCAGATCTGGGGTCAGCAGATCTGGGGAGGCCTGTCACGATAATAAATTTTGCTGGGCAATTGTTTAGAAATTATTGCAATAAACAATAATATTGTTTGAAATTTGACAATAATTAGTAATTATTGTCAAATTTAAGAAGAAATGTTGGTTAATTTGTGAGTGTAGTACCTTTTTCGACCACCAGATGGCAGTATAAGACTGTCTGAACTGAAGGATGGATAGTAAGGGAGCGAGCAGCGTGTCTCTAAGAAAAATGGGAGGGAGGCCCCTCGACGTGACATGGGCTGTCTCTCTTCAGTTCTCAAAATGGCGGACGCTCGGTGTGGTTTGAGCTCTTTAGCATTTTTGACACAAAGCTTTTAATTAAAAAAAAAATCAGTAAACAAGTTCTCAGGTTCTTTTTGCAGAGAAAAACAACTTTTTACACAAAGGCACGAGTTTCAACTGTGAATTTTGGAGCTTCGACAAGACGGAGGTTTTTTCCCCGAGGTCGGCCTGTTAGCTCGTAGCTTAGCTTCTCAGCTTAGCTGCTTTCAACGATCCATAAACGTGATTTTTAGATGGTTTAAACAGATTTTAAAGAGAAAGGGCGGGGTCAGTGAAGAGCACCTGAGCCTTTTGTCATCCAGTGTCTTCAGTAGAAAGAGAGAGACACGACAAAACAATAAAGCCGATAAATGAAAATGAGGTTGATAATTTTCACTTATCATGCGATTAATTGATTTATCGTTTATCGTGACAGGGTTAGGGAAGCCAGAAAGTAAAAAACCTCGGGGAGGGACAAACAAAAAGAGACAAACTATTTACAGTCAAGCTGCTTCAGAGAGAAACGCAAACTACTTTAAGTGTAAAAGGTGCTTAAATTAAAAAATACTTAAGTAACTTTTAACTACTTAAAGTGGAGAAACTTTGTAATAAATAAAACAACTTAAGGTGGAAAAAGCTCAAGTAATAAATCAATTTAAGGTCAAACATGTTGAAGTAACTTCAGCAGCTTTTTAAAGTGAACATTTTACTTCGGGTGGAAAAAGCTAAACGAGGCGACGACACACCTGAAGGTAAAAACTACTGAAGATGAAAAGTATTCAGCAGCTCCGTCAGTTTCAGACCTCTGCTTTATTACAGGGAATTCATTTTCTTCAGACAAGATGAGACGACACCACATTCCTGGACCTTCTCCCTCCGGCTCCAAACAAACCCAACATCTGCCAACGTGCACCAGAGCCCGGCTGTCGCTCAGCAGAACCCAAACGCCTCCTTAAATCTTTTAATTTAAATGGAGCAAAGTGACAGATACGTTTTAATCTGCAGGTCAAACCAGAAGGTTTGTCACAACGGAGTTAATTTGGTGAATATTTAAACTTTTGTTTAAAAAAACAATGACAGAATGAACCATCCAAGAACCTTAATGTGGTAAAGAGGAATAAATGTGTGCAGACATCTAACTGGGAACATTTGGCAGCAAAACATCAGTATAACTTGTGAGAAGGACAGAAAGTATCTGCATTTTATCTTCATTCTTGGATAATTCCTCAGATATTTAATGAGACGTTTCAGTCACAAAATTAAATAAACTTTTCCTGCAGTCCGTCTTGGATCGACTCACAGCTCCCGTCGACTTAAAAGATTTTTTACACAATAAAATTAATGAAAAAAGAAGAAATCTAAGCGGATGTGTTGTACTGTTTGAGCTCAGATGTGAAAGACGACATGTTAGGAGGAGGCGGAGGAGGTGGAGGAGCTGTCTGAGCTGTCAGTCCTGTCAGCGCTCACCTCCTCTGAGGGCCTCCTGGGCGCCGCTGGGGGCCCTGAACGCCACGCTACGATACGCTCCGACGCAGCAGCCGTCCCGTCTCCGACAAAACCATCACCGGGACCATGTCTGACTCCGCATCGATCTGTGGAGTCCTGTTACCATGGCAACACTCCCTCTGCACAGCATCGATAGTCGCCACGGCAACTGACAGCCAGAGGGAGCGAGACGGTCTTTGTTCTCACCAGATCCCGGGGCCTGACGGTCGCTCACAGCACGGGCGCTCATCGGTTGACTGAGCGGAGCGGGTCAAAGGTCAGACAGCCGATCGTTACCGTGGTTACATGAGGATGAGTTTCAGGATGGACCATGAAGACGTGCGTCACTTTTTGTCTTCTGGGTGGTTTGAAGTCTGCACGGAGCGAATTCAGAGGAGTTTCAGAACAACAATGTTCAGATCATCTCTGTTTGTAGCCGAGGTCTGATGAGGTCAAATCTGGCTCAGACCAGCAGTCAGGTCTGGATTCTGGACTAAAACTGGACTCCAAACCCTCTGATGTCACAAGACCCATCTCCACCTCTTCAATTTCCATGATCCATCTCTCCTTTGATGTAATAAAACATTTAATGCCCCTAATTATTTCCCCTCCGTGTCTGTTGGACCTCTCCGCTGATGTTTAATTTTCTGACAAAAATGAAAAAATGAAAACCAGTTGTTCACACTGGAGCTCACCTTAACCTAAAATCTGTCTAAATCGGACCGGGCTGATGCATACACACTGTTTACTGACAACTAGAACCGGGTCACGTTCAAGCAGCGTTCCTGTTTTTCAACTCTAAACTACAGTGAAGCTAAAGAAGAAGGTCACACCGTGGTCTTCCTCAGTCACCAGTAAAACCAGCCCCTGAGTCTGTCGGGAAGTTTGTGGTGAATAAGAATCCAGGCCGAGCCAAAGAGGCTGAGTCACTGCTGACGTCAGAGGATTGTCCCGTTACTGATTCAGGTCAGCGCCGCTCACCGGGCCCTGCTGCGACACGTCTGACGCTCATGATGGAGTTCTGCTTTGTTTTCTACAGGAAATGACATCATCGATCCATCTTCTCCCTGCTCAAATGAGCTGAAACTGATCTTTAGTCCAAAGATACACTGACTTAAACTATGAGAAACACTGACTTAAACTACCACAAACACTGACTTAAACTACCACAAACACTGACTTAAACTACTAGAAACACTGACTTAAACTACCACAAACACTGACTTAAACTACCACAAACACTGACTTAAACTACCACAAACACTGACTTAAACTACTAGAAACACTGACTTAAACTACCACAAACACTGACTTAAACTACCACAAACACTGACTTAAACTACCACAAACACTGACTTAAACTACTAGAAACACTGACTTAAACTACCACAAACACTGACTTAAACTACCACAAACACTGACTTAAACTACCACAAACACTGACTTAAACTATGAGAAACACCAACTTAAACTATCACAAACATTGACTTAAACTGCCGGAAACACTGACTTAAACTACCACAAACAATGATTTAAACTACCACAAACACTGATTTAAACTACCACAAACACTGATTTAAACTATGAGAAACACCAACTTAAACTACCACAAACACTGACTTAAACTATGAGAAACACCAACTTAAACTACCACAAACACTGACTTAAACTGCCGGAAACACCGACTTAAACTACCACAAACACTGACTTAAACTTCCGGAAACACTGACTTAAACTATCACAAACATTGACTTAAACTGCCGGAAACACCGACTTAAACTATCACAAACACCGACTTAAACTATCACAAACACTGACTTAAACTACCACAAACACTGACTTAAACTACCACAAACACTGACTTAAACTGCCGGAAACACCGACTTAAACTACCACAAACACTGACTTAAACTGCCGGAAACACTGACTTAAACTATCACAAACATTGACTTAAACTGCCGGAAACACCGACTTAAACTATCACAAACACCGACTTAAACTATCACAAACACTGACTTAAACTACCACAAACACTGACTTAAACTGCCAGAAACACCGACTTAAACTATCACAAACATTGACTTAAACTGCCGGAAACACTGACTTAAACTACCACAAACACCGACTTAAACTACCACAAACACTGATTTAAACTACCACAAACACTGATTTA